GCCTGATAATTTCAGAGACTAGAGTCAGCCTAAACTTTAACATGGCGTAGCTATGGTCAAGAAGGTGCCATATCACAAGGTCAATGTCAGGTTTTCCTCAATTGTTCTCCACTTTATTATTTTTCTTTATTTTTTTTTTTTTGAGACAGGGTCTCTCTGTAGCCCCAGGTGTCCTGGAACTCACTATGTAGACCAGGCTGGCCTCAAACTCACAAAGATCCACTTGCCTCTGCCTCCCAAGTGCTGGGATTAAAGGCGTGCGCCACCACGCCCAGCTAGTATTTTGTTATTTTTATTTTATGTGTATGAGTGTATTGCCTGCATGTATGTGAGTGCACTCGTGTCGTGCAATGCCTCAGAGGTCAGAAAAGGGCTTCGATTCCCCTGGAACTGGAGTTAAGTATGGTTCATAGCTGCCATGTGGGTGCTGGGAATCGAACTCGGGTCCTCTGCAAGAGCAGTCAGTGCTCTTAACTGCTGAGCCATCTCTCCAGCCCCTCCACTTTATTAAGACAGGGTTTCACACTGAATGTGGAGTTTACCATTGATTCTGTTAGATTGACTGGCCAGAAGGCCCCAGCAGTCCTCCTGCCTCTGCTTCCCCATGACTGGACTACAGGTGCATGTCTCCACATTCAAACTTTTAACATTTAAAAATTTTTTTTAATTTTTTTATGTGTATGCACGTATCGTCTGTATGTAGCCACCATGCCTGGCTCCATATTTTTCTTTATATGAGCCTAGATCTCATTATGTAGAGACAAGATCTCTTTATATGAGACAAGATCTCATTATGTAGTCCTGGCTAGCCTGGCTAGCCTAGAACTATGTAGAGCAGGCTGACCTTTAACTCACAGAGAACCACAAACCTCTGCCTCTTCAGTGCTGGAATTAAAAATCTGCACCACAGGGGCTGGAGAGATGGCTCAAGAGCACTAGCTGCTCTTGCAGAGGACCTGAGTTTGGTTCCCAGCACCCAATGGTGGTTAACATCCATCTTTAACTTCAGTTCCAGGTCATCCAACACCCTTCTTCTGACCTCCTAGGGCATTGCACGACACAGGTGCACTGACATAAGTGCAAAAAAAAAATACTCATGCGTGTAAAATAAATTTTAAAAACTTAAAAATCTGGGAGGCAAGCCGGGCGTGGTGGCGCATGCCTTCGATCCCAGCACTCGGGAGGCAAAGACAGGCAGATCTCTTTGAGTTCAAGGCCTGGTCTACATAGTGAATTTCAGGACAGCTGGGGCTACAGGGAGACCCTGTCTCAAAAAGACCAAAAAAAAAAAAAAAAATCTGGGAGGCAGAGGCAGGTGGATCTTTGTGAGTTCAAGGCCAGCCTGGTCTATATAGTAAGTTCCAGGTCAGTTGGGGGTACATGGGAGTCTGTCTCAAAAAGATCAAAAAACAAACAAAAAAACTTAAAAATTTGCACCACAATACCCAGCCTTTTATCTGTGTGTTTGTCTGTGTGTATGTGTAACTGAGTGTACATGCCCTCAAAGGCCAGAGGTGTCAGATCCCCTGGAGCTGGAGTTAAAGGCAGGTTGTGAGCTACCTGACATGGGTGCTAGTAACTAAGCTCAGGACCTCTTCAAGGGCAATCTCTCCAGACCAACACATTGAGCTGTGTACATGGACTCTGTGGGATCAAACTCAGGTCTGCAGGTTTGCACAGCTGAGCTTTTTCCGCAGCCCTATGCCTTTTTTTTTTTTTTAATGTATAGGAGTGTTTTACCTGCACGTATATAAGTGAATCCAAGTCATGCAGTGCCCAAGGAGGCTAGAAGAGGGGTGTTGGATCCCCTGAAACTGGAGTTAAGGACAGTTAGCCATCATGTGGTGTTGGGAACTGAACCCAGGTCCTTTGTAAGAGCAGCCAGGGCTCTTAATCGCTAAGCCATCTCTTAGCCCTATACCTTGGTTTTTTTTGTTTGTTTTTTGATCTTTTTGAGACAGGGTCTCCCTGTAGCCCCAGCTGGCCTGAAACTCACTATGTAGACCAGGCTGACCTTGAACTCACAGAGATCCACCTGCCTCTGCATCCCAAGTGCTGGGAGTAAAGGCGTGCGCCACCACGCCCAGCTTACCTGGCTTTTATTCTCACCCCCCACCCTTTTTTTGAGAGTTTCCCTGTGCATCCTTGATGCTGGCCTGGAACAGAGTTCACCTGCCTCTGCCTCTTGGGTGTTGGGATTAAAGGCATGTGTCATCACACCAGATCATTCCTTTTACGGTTTTAAATATTTTATTACTATTTTATTATTTTATTTTTTTGGTCTTTTTGAAGCAAAGTCTCCCTGTGGCCCCAGCTGTCCTGGAACTCACTATGTAGAACCAGGCTGGCCTTGAACTCACAGAGATCCGCCTGCCTCTGCTTCCCAAGTGCTGGGACTACAGGCGTGTGCCACCACACCTGGCTATTATTACTTATTTTATGCGTATGAGTGTATTGCCTGCATGTATGTGAGTGCACCCACGTCATGCAATGCCTTGTGTGAGGTCAGAAGAGGGCTTTGGATTCCCTTGGAACTGGAGTTAAGGACCATTTATAGCCACCATGTGGGTGCTGGGAATCGAACCTGGGGTTCTCTGGAAGAGCAGTCAATGCTCTTAACCACTGAGCCATCTCTCCAGCCCCGCCCCCTTTAAGTTTTTAAAAACTATTTTAAACCAGGCATGGTGGCACACACCTTTAATCCCAGCACTTGGGAGGCAGAGGAGGTGCTCTTTGTGAGTTCAAGGTCAGCCTTGTCTACATGCTGAGTTCCAGGCCAGCTGGGGCTGTAGGGAGACCCTGTCTCAAAAACACAAAAACAAAACCAAGGTCAGGTGTGATGGCGCAGGCCTTTAATCTCAGCACTCAGCAGAGGCAGGTGGATCTCTGTGAGTTCAAGGACAGCCTGGTCTACATAGGACAGCTTCCAGGATAGCTGGGGCTACAGGGAGACCCTGTCTCAAAGACCAAAAAAAACAACAAAAAAATTTTTATGGAGGGGGGGCTCTTTTTGAGTCAGGGTCTCCCTGCAGCCCCCGCTGGCCTGTAACTATGTAGACAGGTTGACCTCGAACTCACAAGAGATCTGCCTGCCTCTGCCTCCCAAGTGCTGGGACTACAGGTGTGTGCCACCATACCCAACAAACCAAAAAACGTTTAAAGGTATTATTATTGTGCATGATTTGGGGGATTGTGCCATGGTGTGCATATGGTGGTCAGAAAACAACTTTTGTGAAGTCAGTTTTCTCACCACCCTTATGGGGTTCTGGGGATAGAACTCAATTTGTCCAGCTTGCATTGTTGGGCAGCAAATGCCTTTACCTGTCCTCCAAACCATCACACTTTTTTTTAATTTTAGGTGTATGAATGTATTGCCTACATGTAAGTGCACCTGTGTCATGCATTACTTTAGAGGTCAGAAGGTGGCTTTTGATCTCCTGGAACTGGAGTTATGGATGGTTGTCAGTCACCATGTGGGTGCTGGGAACCCAACCCATGTCCTCTGCAAGAGCAGCCACTGCTCTTCACCCCTGAGCCATCTCTCCAGTCCAGTTTTCTAACAGATGTCATTTGCCCAAGCTGGCTTTGACTGCCTGATCTCCCTGCTTCCACCTCCCAAATCCTGTACCACCATGTCTGCCTTTTGGAACTTTTCTCCTTAGAAAAGGTTGCGGGCAGCTCCGTGGTAGAGAGCTTGTCTAGCACACTCAAGACCCTTGTTTCAATCCTGTCCTAAAAACAAGTCTTGCCAGCTATGGTGGCTCACATCTGTACTCTCAGCACTTGGGGAGGTGAGGCAAGAGAAATTTTTATGCATTTTACCCCGGGCATGTCGTCCAGTTTTGTTTTTTTTTTTTTTTTTTTAATGTATACTTGAGGGTGCTCCAGGAGACCAGAAGAGGGCGTAGAATCTCATGGAGCTGGAGTTACAGGACCCGTCCTCTCCTAGAGCCAGCCTCTTAACCCTGAGCATCTCTCCAGCCCTACCTCCCAGAATCTTTTTGTTTTTTGAGACAGAGTGTCACTGTGTTGCCCTGGCTGGCGTGGAACTCGCTGAGATCCTCCTGCCTCTGCCTCACGAGTGTTGGTGTCTGGCACGTCCCGGAATGTTAAGCAAGGAAGGACTCCTAGAATTGAGTATCCGCAGTCTAACCTTGGGTACACCGAACAGTTAAGGAAAGCGGGATGGAAAGGGGAGGGTGTGCAGCTATTGGCAGAGCGGGCACGCGAAACTCTAGGAAAAGATGGACGCAATGCTCTGGGTGGGAGGAGAACACTGCAGAGCCCATGACCACCCGCCCTTCCCATTCACGCCCTCTCCGGACCCCCTCATCAGTCTCCTTTGTTCCAAGAACCACATGCAGCACCTTCAACCAAAGTACCATTGAGATCGGTCACCGAACCTTGGACCCGAATTCGGAGAGTGTGTGCCGCTCGGGTCACCGCAGACCAGTGCAGCCCAGGCTGCTCGCGTTCACAGGCTAGGGGGCCCTGAGCTGAGAGCACAGCTTTTCCGCCGAGCTTGCGGCCCAGCGCGGCCGGAAGCGCACAGCCAAAGCGCTGCGGTCCAAGCCTCGGCGCCCCTAGACTCACATAAAGCACCAGCCGAGCGAAACCTGCCCCTTTACAGGGCAGAGGCCTAAGCCAATCAGCACCAAGTACGGCCAATTCCCCCACCCAATTGAAATTTTTTTTTTTCTGAAGGCGGTGCCGTCATAGAGTCCCACAGCCCAATGAGAGACGTGGAAATTTCCAGAACGAACAGGACCAATGGGCGCGGCCAGCTCGGGCATGATTGGCAGACCAGTCAACCAATCCGTGTTGTAAACGTTCGCTCCGCCCTTCATTCGTAGAGCCCGAGGAGGGCGGGTCTTGGAGGGGAAAGCCCAATCCCGAGGACCGGATGAGAAAAATAGCCAATGAGAGGGAAGCAAAGATGATTAGCCGAAAGTTTAGCCAATAGGAGAGGAGCATAGAGAGCCGCCCAGAGGCGCTCGACCACTGAGGAGGCGAGGAAGGGGCGGGAGCCGGGGGGGGGGGGGGGCCCGGCAGCTTCTAGTAGGTTCCAGAAGGCGGCGCGTGCGGTTGGGAACGCGAAGCGGACGAATTCGATTCAACCGGGTTCGGGCCGTGCTATGGAGCAGGTGAAGGGGGAGGGGCGGCCGGGGTCCCGGGGCGGCCTAGGCCCGTTGGCGAGGAAAGGGGGGCGTCACGCGGCGGACTGGTGTGTGAGGCGGGCTCCCGGGAGCGCCCATCGACACCCCGCGACTCGCCGAGGGAGGTGGGAGGAAGCCCGGGGTCAGGCCGCAGCGGGAAACGCGACCGTGGTGGGGCTTCAAGGCCTCTTCCCGGGGGGCGGATGGCGTGGGGAGGCTGGCGGGGGCTGAGGCCGCGGGGTCCCGCGTTAGCCGCGGTGAGGTTGGAGGCGTCCCGGGAGCGGGAAGGGCCGGAGAGACGGATCATCACCGCGGAAGCCATGCGGGGAGGGCGCGAGGGGACGCGGCACCTGTGGGCGCTTGGGAAGGGGCTGGCGTGGGAGTGCCTGGAGGCCGCGAGGTGGGCGGGTAGGGGGCCACCGAGGCCTCGAGGAATCCGGCCCGAGGCCGCTCCTGCCCCTCCCCCTCTTTTTTTTTTTTTAAAAAAAAAGGACCTGACACTTGGAAAGTCGGTTTCGGATTACGCAGGATTTAGTGGCTGTAGACAGTTGAGACACGATGGTGAGCAGCCAGAAGTTACTGCCTCCCGCTCAGCATCTGGAGCTCTTACCTTGGGGACTTAGCTCGGGCCACTGTGGCCTGCCGCTGAAAGAGTCCTGGAGAGGTTTTGTTGCCCTGGAAGCAGCCATTGAGCCGTCGTGATTCATCGAAACACACACACACACACACACACTCTCACACACAGAGAAGACCTTTTAGTGTGATGTACACTAAAACCTTTTGTTCTGGTATAGCTATTGGAGGGGACGGTAGAGGCCTTCCTCCTTAAGGAAGACTGGAAAGGTAGAGGTTAATAACTTTTTATACTCTTGTAATCAAGTTATATCTGGGACCGATAGGCTGTAGTATAGACAAGAAAAAAATAGTTTTGGAATAAGCATCATCTTGCTATGTTAGAACACAAAGAAGCTGTTCTTTTTTTATTACTGTTATTCATTCATTCGTTTTTCTGTGTGTGGTGCTGGAGATTGAATCCAGAGCCTGGAGCATTCAGAGCTTGTGATCTTCCACAGAGCTATACCCCCAGCACACACCCCATGCAGTCTTGCTGGCTATTATAGAAGTATGTAACTGGACAGGTAGACCATGTGAATTGGGAGTTGTACTGCAAAGGTGGGGAAATTTGGTGTTCGGGCTGGGGCAGTAGCCCAGTGGGTGAAGTACTGTTAGTGCAAGCTTGAAGACCTGAGTTTGGATCCCCAGCAACCACCACAAAAGTCAGGCTTCCCAAGGCAGGGGAGGAGGACGGAGGACAGTTGTCATGGGTACAGGATGGGACAGGAGGATCCCAGGACTCACTGGCTAGCCAGTGAGTGAGCTCCAGGTTCATTGACTTTATCTCAGAATGAAGTAAAGAGCAGTGAGAGACACCTGACATGGCTCTCTGCCCCCTTCATGTGGCCACACACATGAGTGTTGAAAACTGCATTTAAATATTTTATGTGTATGAGTGTATTGCCTGCATGTATGTGAGTGCACCGTGTCACGCAGTGCCATGGAGGTCAGAAGAGGGCTTCGGATTCCCCTGGAACTGGAGTCCAGGACGGTTTGTAGCCACCATGTGGGTGTTGGGAATCGAACCCGGGTCCTCTGCAAGAGCAGTCAGTGCTCTTAACTGCTGAGCCATCTCTCCAGCCCCAAAAACTGCATTTTAAGAACAGTCCTTTCACATTTTTTAGGATTTATTTGTAATTGTATGTGCATGTGCCTTGTAGGTGTGGGTACCCTCTTGCCAGAGGAGACAGATCCCCTGGAACTGGATTTAAAGACAGTTGTCAGCTTGCTGGGCACAGAACCTGGGTCCTCTTCAAGAGCAGTGCATGCTCTTACTGTCTGAGCCATCTCTCCAGCCCCCTGGTTACTTTGTTTTTGAGACAGGGTCTCTGGTAGCCCAGGCTGGCATCCCAACTTGTGATCCTTCTGTCTCAGCCTCTCAGGTACCCAAATTCTTAACAGACATGAGCCGCCACATTTGGCTTCACTTCTTGATGAGAATTGAACCCAAAGCCTCACTTAATGCCGGTGCTTTTATCACTCAGCTGCAACCCAAGCTGGTCTGTGCACCACCTGCCTGCTTGTCTGTATAATGAAATCACTATGTGCTGTTCACTTGGTCATTTGAAGTGCTAGGTAAGGGACTAAACAGATAACTGAGCAGGTAAAAGCACTGGCTGCTCTTGCAGAGGGACCCGGGTTTGGTTCCCAGCATCCACATGGAGGCTAACAACCATTCCTAACTCCATTTCCAAAAGGTACTTTCTTTTGGCCTCTGCAGAGATTGCACACACAGATGCACGTAACATACATGCTGACAGGTAAAACAAAGAATTTCAAAGTACTAATTAGGGCTGGGGTACAGCCTACAGGTGGAGTGCAGGTAGCATGCCTCAGGCCGTTAGTTCATCCCAGTACAAAAAAAGGCTCAGCAGTTAAGAGCACTGGCTGCTCTTCCAGAGGACCAGGGTTCTGTTTCCAGCACCCACATGGGAGCAACAACCATCCCTCATTCCCGTTCCAGGGAATCCAACACCCTCTTCTGGCCCCCGTGAGCATTGTAGACATAGGTATACTTGCATACATGCATGTAAAACACTTAAAACATATTAAAAAACAAAGGCCCTCAGAATTGATTTCCTAACCCACCATGGGTCAGTTCTCACTTGAAAAATCCCTTTTCTTAGCCCAATATTTTAGTTCATGCTTATAAACCCAGCATTTAGGAGATTGAGGCAGTAAGCCAGCCTGCTCTATAATTGTCTCAGGTCACTTTGGGCTACCAAGGTGAAGCCTCAACCTGGTACAGAGTACTGTGTTGTTTGTAGGCAAGAACTTGACAGAGCTATTCCTCAGCTCACTATGTGGACCGGACTAGCCTTAAACTCCCAGAGATGCCCTGCCTCTACCATCCCAGTGCTAGGATTAAAGGTGTGCCACCAGGCCCAGCCCTCAGCTCAGTTGAGTGGAGTTTTCTTCCTTGGTCTCTTTGGCCTCCATTCCAGTGCTTTTTTCCCCCAGGCAGGATCTCCTGCCTTTACTCCCAGTTTAGCTGTACTTTAGGATTATCTGTTTGCTGTATGGAAGTTCCTGATTGTGTGCTTCAGGGCTCCAGAATCATCTAAAAGAGGTCATCATTCCATCAGTCTGTTGAACCCTGGGGTAGATGATATATTTATGATAGAAGTAGTAACTTCAGTACAGCTTGATCCCACAAAATGTTTTTGTATGTTTTTGTTCTTTTTGAGACAATTTCCTGTTGCCCAGACAGGCATCTTAAGTCAGCTGTGTAGCTGAGGCTGGCCTTCAACTCTTGATCACAGATGTGCCTGCCATACCTGCCTTTGTGTTTTTTAGTTACCATACAAAATAATGGTTTCTTTTTGACCTTTTTAAGATAGGGTCTCATACCCACAGCTGGTCTTCAACTCACTGTGTAGGTAAGGATGACCTTCTGATTCTTTTCTTTCTGTTTCTACCTAACAAGTCCTGGGATAACAGACATGTACTGCCTTGCTTGGTTCTGAGATTGAACCCAGGGCATTAGCTACCAACTGAGCTGCTTCCCCGGCTCTTGTGGCACTCTATAAGTATGTATACTTTGTTCACATTCACTCCATGCTTGCTTTTTTGTGATTTACTTTTTAAATATATTTTATTTTTATTTTATGTGTATGAGTATTGCCTGTATGTATGTGAGTGCACCCGTGTCATGCAGTGCCACGGAGGTCAGAAGAGGGCTTCGAATTTGCCTGGAACTAGAGTTAAGGACGGTTTGTAGCTCCCATGTGAGTGCTGGGAATTGAACCCAGGTCCTCTGCAAGAGCAGTCAGAGCTCTTAACCGCTGAGCCATCTCTCCAGCCCGACTTATTTTTTAATTAAAAAACTCTTTAAAAAAAAATTTATGGTTATGCGTGTATTGCCTGGTTGCGTATAAGTGCACCCATGGAGGTCAGCAGAGAGCTTCGGATCCCTTGGAACTAGAGTTACAGATGGTTGTTAGCTGCCCTGTGGGTGCTGGGAACCCAACCCTGGTCTGCTGCAAGAGCAGCCAGTGCTCTTACCACTGAGCCATCTCTAACCCTGTTTGTTATTTTTTGTGTTGAGATACTTTAGCCCTGCCTGCCTCCAGAGTGCTAGAATTAAAGGCATGTGCCACCACGCCTGGCCCCTGCTTGCATTTAAAGGGAACTGTGGAGGTATGGCTTTGCATAGCCATGCCAATACTGTTAAGAAAAAGCCCTTTAGGGGCCTGGAGAGATGGGTCAGCAGTTAAGAACACTGGTCTTGCAGAAGACCCAGGTTCAAATCCCAGCACCCACATGGCAACTAACAACTGTAACTCCAGATTCAGGGGATCTGACAGCCTCTTCTGTCCTTCACAGGCATTGATGACACCAGTGACACCAGTGCCCGCGCTTACGAGCAGGCATAACACTCATGCACATAAAATAAAAATAAAATATTAAAAAAAAATTTTTTTTTTAAATGCCGGGTGTGGGAGCGCACGCCTTTAATCCCAGCAGAGGCAGGTGGAATTTCTCTTGAGTTCAAGGCCAGCCTGGTCTACATAGCGAGTTCTAGGACAGCTGGGGCTACAGGAAGACCCTGTCTCAAAAAGACCAAAAAAAAAGAAATATAATCAGGGCTGGAGAGCAGTTAAGAACACTGGTTGTTCTTGCAGAAGACCTGGGTTCGAATCCCAGCACCCAAATGGCAGCTAACAACTGTCCATAACTCCAGTCCCAGGGGATCCAACAGCCTCTTCTGACCTCCTCAGGCATTGGACGACGTGGGTGCAGTTACCTACATGTAGGCAATACACACATACCTAGGGCTACAGAGATAGATCAGTGGTTAAGAGCACTGACTGCTCTTCCAGAGGACCTGTGTTTGGTTCCCAGCACCCACTTGGGGAGTTAATCAGAGGGCAGGGGAATCCAGTTCCCTCTTCTGCATACACTTACATAAATGCATGCAAAACACTCATACACATAAAATTGAAGCCCGTGACTTTCCTTTAAGCCCAGCCCTTGGGAGGCAGGGACAGGCAGATTTCACAGATTTCTCTGTGAAATTAAAGTTAGCCTGGTCTATATAGCAAGTTTCAGGCCAGCTAAGGCTATAGGGAAACTCAAAAATATATATAATTTAAAACCTGGGGGAGAAAATGAACATGTTACAGACAGGACTTCATGGACTCCTTTCCTCCACAGGTGAATGAGCTAAAGGAGAAGGGCAATAAGGCCCTGAGTGCCGGGAACATTGATGATGCCTTGCAGTGTTACTCTGAAGCAATTAAACTAGATCCCCAGAACCATGTGCTCTACAGCAATCGCTCTGCAGCCTACGCCAAGAAAGGAGACTACCAGAAGGCTTATGAGGATGGCTGCAAGACCGTTGACCTAAAGCCCGACTGGGGCAAGGTAAACTGGGGGAGTTGCGTTCTGCAGTTTTCCTAAGGATTTGGAACCATTTTATAATCCCTTATTAGCTGGCACTCTGGATCTGCTGATGGGATAGGTTGCCAACTTGTTCCCTGCCTGCCCTCTGTTTGAAGGTGCCCTTGAAAGCAATGCCTATTTCACCAAGTTTCTTCCCATTAGTTGTGATACAGGCTTTATTTATACTGCTAGAAATGAAAGACTAAGGAAACTGACACCGTGGCCATGGGCCGGGGTGTGCCTTGGTAGTGTTCTTCAGATCAGCCTTGGTGTTGTGTCCCCCTCTATTTACTCCTTGACCTTCATGTGAATGGCATTGGGGTGACTGAAAGAGACAGGGGATCTCTGAGTCTATTTAATGAGTTTCTGGCCAGCCAGAGCTACAGAGTAAGACCCTGTCTCAAACCCAAAAAATGCACAATGGGCTTTTTGTTTTTATTTTATTTTATTTTATTTTTTTGGTCTTTTTGAGACAGGGTTTCCCTGTAGCCCCAGCTGTCCTGGAACTCACTATGCAGACCAGGCTGGCCTTGAACTCACAGACATATGCCTGCCTCTGCCTCCCGAGTGCTGGAATTAAAGGCGTGAGCCACCACGCCTTTAATGGGCTTTTTTAAACTGATGTGGATTTGCCTCTGCATGTCCTTTATTTTATCTTTTCTTGGGGTGGGTGAAGGGTTATTCAAGAAAAGCAGCAGCCCTTGAGTTTCTAAACCGGTTTGAAGAAGCCAAACGAACCTATGAAGAGGGTTTAAAGCACGAAGCCAATAACCCCCAGCTTAAGGAGGGATTGCAGAACATGGAGGCCAGGTTGGCAGGTATGTAGTATGCCCTCCTTTTTTTTTTTTTCCTAATCCATTTTCCTTAATGGATTAAGTGCAGTTATGCCCTCCCCAGCTTCCTCATGATGGGATGTGTCACAGCAATTGGAACAAAGATTTCACACTAACACACTTCCTTTATTTGGGCAGAGAGGAAATTCATGAATCCTTTCAACATGCCTAATCTATACCAGAAGTTGGAGAATGATCCCAGGACAAGGACACTGCTCAGTGACCCCACCTACCGGGAACTGATAGAGCAACTCCGAAATAAGCCATCCGATCTGGGCACGTAAGTAAAGGCAGCCTCATGAGTCCTTGGAGATGATAGGAATTCTGGCAGAGTTACAGTTTCTGCCTTTGCTCTTTCTCCACTGAATGGTGGTTCTATAATTTGTATTCATTGAAGGATAAAGAACATATAGCACTGCACTCTGGAATATTCGTTCTAATTTGCACATGCCTCTTCTTGCCTGTCCTAGAATTCTTTTTTTTTTTTTTTTTTTTTTTTTTTTTTTTTTTTTTTTTAATTTTTGTGTTGTGATCAAAGCTTTTCACCTGTTAGGCAAGTAATCTGTCACTGAGCTTCATCTCTAACTCTAGCCATGCTTTAATGGGTCATGGTATGTACAAGAATCTGTTATCCATAAATGGGTTTAAGATCAGTTGTAGATGCTGCAAGCCTGTAATTTCCAGCCACTTGGGTGTTTTGGGGGTTTTGGTGTTGGTGGTAGTTTTGTTTTTTTTGTTTTGGTCTTTATGAGACAGGCTTTCCCTGTAGCCACAGCTGGCCTTGAACTCAGAAATCTGCCTATCTCTGCCTCCCAGCAGCTGGGATTAAAGGCATTGCACTACACCATGTTCAGCCTGTTGTTTTTGAGGCAGGGTCTCACCATGTAGTTTGGGCTGGCCTGGATCTCATAAAGGCTGGTGTCTGCTTCCCAAATCCAGATCAAAGATTTTGTGTACAGGAGTGTGCACAGAGGCCAGAAGAGGGAATTAGATCCCTTGGAGCTGGAGGTGCAGGTATTTGTGAGCCAGGATCTGAATTTCAGTCTTCACCTTAAAAAGCAACAAGTCCACCCTGCATGGTGGCGCACGCCTTTAATCCCAGCACTTGGGAGGCAGAGGTAGGTGGATCTCTTTGAGTTCAAGGCCAGACTGGTCTACATAATGAGTTCCAGGACAGCTGGGGCTACAGGGAGACCCTGTCTCAAAAAGACCAAAAAAAAAGCAACAAGCCCTCTTAACCCCTGAATTATTTTTCCAGCCCCCTTTTTCTGTCTTGTTTTGTTTTTGACTTTTAAGATATGGTCTCACTATAGAGCCCTGGCTGACCTTGAACTCAGATCCTTCTGCCTCTACTAGAATTAAGGGTGTATACTACCAAACCCAGCAGGTGTGCATGTTCACACTTGGCATGAGTTTATGTTCACCATACTCATTCAGGTATTCTTGGAGGCCAGTCACATTCACTGGAAGTGGAATTTTAGACAGTTGTAAGTTGCCAGATATGGGTGCTGGGAAACAAGAACCAGTGTTCTGCTGGAGCAGTAAGCACTCTTAACCTCTGCTCTCTGTGCCATCTCTCCAGGAACTCTTCACCTTTTTTTTTCTTTTTCTTTTTTTTTTTTTTGAGACACTGTCTCCCTGAAGACTCAGATCCATCTGCCTCTGCCTTTGCCTTCCAAGTGTTGGGATTAAAGGCATGCACCACTATGGCCAGCATGTTTTTATTTTATATGTTTTGCCTGCGTTGTATATAAGTGCACCCATGCATGCAATGCCCATCATGGCTAGAAGAGGGCCTTGGATCCCCTGGAAGGACTTACAGACAAGTTAGCCACCATATGGGTGCTAGGATCCAAGTCTGGGTCCTCTGCAAGAGCAGTAAGGCGTCTTAACTGCTGAGCCATCTCTCCAGCCCCTTCTCTCCCTTCCCCTTCCCCCTCTCCTTTTTCTTTTATTTCTTAGTATTTATTTTTATTTGTACAAGGTGGGTTTTTTGTTGTTGTTTTGTCTTTTTGAGACAGGGTCTCCCTGTGCCCCACCTGTCCTGGAACTCACTATGTAGACCAGGCTGGCCTTGAACTCACAGAGATCTGCCTGCCTCTGCCTCTCAAGTGCTGGGACTATGGGGTGTGCCACCATGCCCAGCTCGTATAAGTTTTTTGATTGCTAGTAGTATGTTTACTGTTATGTGTGCTGTGCCCTCAAAGACTGGAAGAGGGCGACAGAGCCACAACGTGGGTCCTCTGGAAGAACAGCAAATGCTGTTAACCCCTGAGCTACCTCTCCAGCCTCTTTTTTCTTTTTAATCAATGTAGGAAACTACAAGATCCCCGGATCATGACCACTCTCAGTGTTCTGCTTGGGGTTGATCTGGGCAGTATGGATGAAGAGGAAGAAGCTGCAACACCCCCACCCCCACCTCCTCCCAAAAAGGAGGCCAAGCCAGAACCAATGGAAGAAGACCTTCCAGAGAATAAAAAACAGGTCTTGTTAAGATTTATTTATTTTTATTGTGTATCTTTGTGTCTGCCACATGTGTGGGGGTGACCAGGGAGACCAGAGGTGGGTGTCAGATTGGTCTCCCTGGAGCTGGAGTTACAGGCAGATATGAACCACCCAATGTGGGTTGCTGGGAACTGTTGAACTTGTCCCTCTGGAAAGCAGCAAGTTTTGAATACTTGTATGTGCTAAGCTTATTCCTGTTTGGTACTTGGGAGGCTGAAGCAGGAGAATCACATGAGCCCAGGTGTTTTGAGACCAGCCTGAGACACATAGTGAGATTGTGTCTGAAAAAAATAGTTGCAGTAAAATGGAAGGCCTGTGAGATGGCTCATTGGTAAAGGCCCTTGCTGCCAAGCCTGGCATCCTGAGTTTGATCCCTGAGGTGCACATGATGGAAGAAGAGAATTTACTCTTGCAAGTTGTCCTTTGGCCTCCATACATTCTCTGTGCATGTGTGTCCATGCAACATAAGTACATGTATAGACAAGTATGGTAAAAATAGGCATTAAAATAAATAGAATAATAGTCTGGGTGTGGTGGCACACACCTTTAATCCCAGCACTTGGGAGGCAGAGGCAGATGGATCTCTGTAAGTTCCAGGACAGCTGGGGCTGCAGGGAGACCCTGTCTCAAAAAACAAACAAATAAATAAATAAATAGAATAAAATACTTCAGAAAAATGCCTGTGGTTTTTCAGAGGCAGGAGGGTTATGAATTAGAAGCCAGCCTCTGTCTTAAAAATGTGTATATGTATGGAAAAGAAAAATGATGTTCTTTGTAAGGCATTTCCTAGTAATCTGGAATTTCTGAGTGCTTCAATGGTGGGAATGGCCCCCTCATTGCCACAGATGCAGATACTGGAGTGGGGTACATAGAGAGTTTTTAGGGACCTGGGTTCCTGCTGTGATCCAAGGCATGGTGTCTGCATCAGTCCTGAGAGCTTGGCTTCCTGGCTAGGCGTGGTATATGGTGGGTGTCCACTGAGCAACACTGTTCCAGAACGGGAGGCATGTGCCTAAAGGATTGTGTTTCCCTTCTTATAAGCGGGAACAGCAGATTGTTGCCTAATTTAGTACCCTTAAACGGGAGAGCGTTGGTTGCTCAGGGTGTCGGTTGCTCAGGGTGTCTCAGCTGGAAAAAGGCCCTCAGTGTGGGCGGGGAGTGCATCACTGAAGACTGCCAGCCAGCTGTTCCCTGACAGCTAAGACCCCAAGAAAGCCGCATGACAGCCAGCTTGTGGCTACCTCACATACAGCCTGTCACCAAAAGTCCTCTACTGTCTGATAAAGATCCAGGAGAATAGATGGGAAAGAGGGGGAATGGGTTCAGAGTCAAAGGAAGCAAAGATAAAATACTTGACTCTGTCTCTGGCTGGTGGGTGAAGAGGCCTTAGTGAGGGACAACTTGCTTCCTGGTCATGTTGGTGGCATGTGCTCATTCCTACTTGTGGTAGAGTTGACTCTGTTGCTCTTCCTGCCGTCTGGTAGAGATGCTTAGTCCTCACTTTCCAACCCCATCCAGGCACTGAAAGAAAAAGAGTTGGGGAATGATGCCTACAAGAAGAAAGACTTCGACATAGCCTTGAAACACTATGACAAGGCTAAGGAACTGGACCCCACCAACATGACTTATATAACCAATCAAGCAGGTAAGGCCCAGAACCCAGGGGCAAGAGAGCTTTAGGCATTCTCAGGGAAGAATCGAGAGTTTTTCCACCCTCCTGCCTTGCAGCCGTCTACTTTGAAAAAGGCAGTTATATCAAATGCCGGGAACTATGTGAGAAGGCCATCGAAGTGGGGAGAGAGAACCGAGAAGACTACCGACAGATTGCCAAGTATGCTCCCCAAGCCTTCTGGAGAACCTGGAGTGTGGGGGTGTGGGGAGGGGAGCTGCTGGCCACTGAGCCTGCCATGTTGGGGGCAGGAAAGGAGGTCCTGGGGGACCAAGAGCCTTGTTGAAAGAGCAGGGTCCCTGGGCCTCAGAGTGGGGTTTGTGGGTAGTTAAATGGATTTTCTTTGTCAGGCTGACCTTGTCTCTGGCTCTACCCTCAGCATTCACTTTCCCTGTTGTCTTTATCAGAGCTTATGCCCGAATTGGCAATTCCTATTTTAAAGAAGAAAAGTATAAGGATGCCATCCATTTCTACAACAAGTCTTTGGCAGAGCACCGCACCCCAGATGTGCTCAAGAAATGCCAGCAGGTGCGTCTGAAACGGAACAGGGAGCATTCTGTTCATAACAGCTAAATTTCACTGTTTATCGTTTGATTAGTAAGTGATTCTAGCCTTGTCACTTGATGTCATGTAGGAAATCCTCTGGGCCCTACTTCATTGACAGGGTTATGATTTTATTATTGCAGCAACATTTTCACTTAAGTAGAATACTATGGGCCTTTAACCCCAGCACTTGGGAGGCAGAGGCAGGAGGATCTCAGCCTGGTCTACATAATGAGTTCATACCAGCTGGGTCTACAGGGAGACCCTGTCTCAAAGAAAGACAAAAAAAAAAAAATAGAGTACTATGGTACCATGTATCATAAAGAACGTAGGGAGGTGTTTTGTCCATGAGACACTGTAGCACATGACTACTTGAAGCTGCTCTGGAGTCTTAAGACCAGGAGTTTGGGAATTCGAGGCCAGCCTGGGCAGCATAATGAAACATCTCAGTCAAAAAAAAAAAAAAATGCTCAGAAAATGAATTATACTGTGCTTTAACTTCAGTATAGTTTCTTGTTTTTACTTGTTTTTACACGTTAGTTATTTGTATATGTGTGTGCCACAGCTTGTGTGTGGCACTCAGAGGACAATTTGGGAATTGGTTTTCTCATTATCTGGGGCCTACAGAGCAAACTTAGGTCATCAGGCTTGCCAGCAAGCACCTTCACTCTCTAAGCCATTGTGGTGGTCCCCATCATGTCGGACTTTTTATGAGACAGGGTTTTACGGAGCCCCAACTGGACTCTGAATTCTCTGTGTAACCAAGGATGACCTTGAGCTCCTGACCCTCCTGCCTCTGCCTCCTGGGTGCTGGAATTGCAGGTGTGTACTATCACACAGGGTTATGCAATGCTGGTGATTGAACCCAGGGTATGTGCCAGTACTATTTTAACAGTGTGCATTGATAAGGAGAAACATAGAATCTACATACTTTTGTGTGGTACCCATGTACTTCATATCTGAGCTATATAGCCTCAGCCCAGGAATGTGAGGTGAAAGTCTTGCCACTAGAACTCTGAAAATTAAAATCCTGGAGGAAAAAAAAAAAAAAAAACAGCTTGGCAGGTAAAAGTACTTGCCACCAAGCCTCAGAGCCTGAGTTCTGTCCCTGGAACCCATGGGTTTGGGGGACTTCCAGGGAACAGACTCCCAAAAGTTGTCCTCTGACTTCCATATATGTACACTGTGGCAGGAGCAAATAAGTGTAAAAACTTTTTAAAATTCTAATTTGACCTTTCAGCCCAGTGTTGACATGTTTAAATTACTAGTGCAAGAATTTCTTTTTTTAGGCAGAGAAAATCCTAAAGGAGCAAGAGCGACTAGCCTACATCAACCCTGATTTGGCTTTGGAGGAGAAGAACAAGGGCAACGAGTGCTTCCAGAAAGGTATACTTGTCCACAGGGCCCAGGCACTGCTGTGTGGCAATGCTTCTGTGCCTGGCTGTAGGGTACACGTGGCAGGGGTGGGGTGAGGTGGCTTTTTGGTGTCAGAAATCCTCCCTTTCTGTGTATGTGTGTGGTATTTGGGGTTGAACCCAGTGTCTTAAGCATGCTAGACGAACTCTACCATGGAACTGAATCCTCTGTAGGGAGGTGTGGTGGTTCACACATGTAGTCTCAACAGGCAGAAGACTGAGGCAGATCAAGAGCAGTTCAGGACAGCTTAGGTTACAGAGTGAGACCTGCAACAAGACAGCAGCTATCTTTAAGCCAGACATGGTGCATGCTTAGAATCTTAGCACTGAGGCTAGTGCAAGAAGATTGCAAAGCCAGTCTGGGCTATATAGTGATTTCTAGGGCAACCTGAGCTAAGAGCCCTATCTCAAGAAAAATTCTGTACCTTACCCAGGGGACTACCCCCAGGCCATGAAGCACTATACAGAAGCCATTAAACGGAACCCAAGAGATGCCAAACTGTACAGCAACCGGGCTGCCTGCTACACCAAGCTGCTGGAGTTTCAGCTGGCACTCAAGGTGAAATATGGAGGGATCTGGGATTGCTGGAATTCGTTGCAGGAGGTGTTTCTCTTCTTGTTCTGCTCTGAACGGGTTGATGTTCTTAATTTGGTTCCAGGTTCACAGTGCTTGTGTCACCTGTGGGCCTGTGTCTACCCGCCTGGCCCTCGAAGTGGCCTGGCTCTCAAAGCTGTCAGTGGTTAGGAATACTTAGGTCTAAGGGGCTCCTTGTGCCTTCGTTAGCCCCCATGCCTTGTCCTCCCCATTCTCTTTATGTTTCTTTGCATCATAGAGTCTCAGTACGTGGCCCATGCTGGCTTTAAACTCATTCTCAGTCTAAGTGCTGAGATGACAGCCATGTACAGGTATGCATGGAGGCCAGAGGGAACTTGGTTCTTGTACCTCGGGAGCTAACCACAGAGCCTAGGATTTGTCTGCCAGTCCTGGTCTAAGCTGGCTGACCAGCAAGACCCAGGGGTCTGCCTGTCCTTGCTTCCCCAGCACTGAGATTACAAGCATGTGTGTTTTCTACATGCATGCTGAGGCATGAACTCGGGTCTCCATGCTTGGGTGGCAAGTATTTACTGACTGAGCCAGTTCCCTAGCTCCTTTTGCCTTTTTTTTTTTTTTTTTTTTTTCCAGGCAGGTTCTTTTGGTCTGGAACTTGCTGTGTAGACCAGGCTAGCCTCAATTGAGCAAAGATCCATCTGCCTGATTCTTTTTCCCAATTTTAATTAAAGACAGAAGAATATGCAGTGGAGACTGGAGGTGTGGCTCAGGTGATGGAGTGCTCGCCCTGGCATGTGCGAAGTCCTGGGTTTGATCTCCAACACTGCATAAACCAGGCATAGTGGCCAGCGCCTGTAATCCTAACACTTGGGAGGTAGAAGCAAGAGGATCAGAACTTTAAGGTCATTCTCAGGTTTGAGGCCAGCCTGGGCTACATGAAACCCTGTCTCAGTAAATTTTTTTTTTTTTTTTTTTTGTCTTTTTGAGACAGGGTCTCCCTGTAGCCCCAGCTATCGCTGGAACTCACTATGTAGACCAGGCTGACCTTGAACTCACAGAGATCCACCTGCCTCTGCCTCCACGCCCAGCCCTAATTTTTTTTTTTTTTTTTAAATTATACTCTGTGTCTCATATATCCTGTTTCTGTTAAGTAAGTACTGGGAATGGAGCCCAGGGCTTTGTACATCCTCCACACTGACTATACCCTAGCCTTAAGGTAGACTCTGGGACTGAGCTGTTGGAGAGAATGATGCTAGGTGTGGTGGAACATGTCTATAATTTTAGGTGTCTGGGAGGATGATGGCAGGTGGATCAGTGGAACCAAGGAATTTGAGCCCAGCCTGGGTAACATAGGATCCATTTCCCATACACACACCAAAGAAGTTGCAATTCTGTGTCTTCTGTCCATCCATTTGATTTGTCCAAAGTTACTAAGGCCTTTTTTAAAAAAAACTTGTTTATGTGTATGAGTGTTTTGCCTGCATGCATGTAAGGGGACCCATGTTGAGCAATGCCCAAATAGGCCAAAAGAGGGCATTGGATCCCCTGGAACTGCAGTTATGAGGACGGTTGTTAGGCTCTATGGGTTCTGGGAATGGAACTGGGGTCCTCTGGAAGAGCAGCCAGCCCCTAGGCTTTTGAACACATTTCAAGTTCAAAAGCAGTTAGTGTGGTTTATGGGCTTGCTTTCTCTTAGACTAGGAGTCCTCACTCCTGTGTTTCCCATAGCACCAGCCTTAAGTCCTGCTCTGGGGTGGTGACCAGAGCTGTCTTTCCTGGCACATTGCCTAGCTTCTTATTTAACTTGCTCTCCGGTAATGCAGGGGCCAGGACTGGCAGGAACAGTAGAGTCCAAGCCAGGACCTGGTAGCACTTCAGGAGGGCACAGTGGCTGGCTGCTGAGCACTTTCGAGGTGAAAGAGCCTAATCTCTTCTCTTTCCTCCTAGGACTGTGAGGAGTGCATCCAGTTGGAGCCGACTTTCAGTAAGTGCCTTTCATCCTTGCCCTTGGCCCTGATTTTGCCCCAAAGATGGAGAGAAGCTGCCTTTGCTGGAAATAGCTATTCTCTTGGTGCCTCACGTCTCATTTGTCTGTAGTCAAGGGTTACACTCGGAAAGCAGCTGCCCTGGAAGCCATGAAGGACTACACAAAAGCCATGGATGTGTACCAGAAGGCACTGGACCTGGACTCCAGCTGTAAGGTGGGCTGCTCCCTGTTCTCCTTTGGGTCTTTTCAGTGGGTTTTCACATTCTCCCTCTTGTCTCAGTTTCTCCTGTCTCTTCGTCCCTTCTTTTCCCTTCCCTGTGATCTCTGCTGTCTTGGACTAGCAAAAGCAGTGGGGTAGGTAGTACTGACCTCCTCCCCCTTGGTCTTTTTCTGGAATGCAGGAAGCAGCAGATGGTTACCAGCGCTGTATGATGGCTCAGTATAACCGGCATGACAGCCCTGAGGATGTGAAGCGGCGGGCCATGGCTGACCCTGAGGTGCAGCAGATCATGAGTGACCCAGCCATGCGACTTATCCTAGAGCAGATGCAGAAGGATCCCCAGGCTCTGAGCGAGTAAGTCCAGTGGGGAAGCCAGGGAAGTGAGAGCAGTGCGGCCAAGTGGAATTGGGGGGGAGGGGGTAAGACAAGGTCTCCCTGTAGCCCCAGCTGGCCTGGAACTCACTATGTAGACCAGCCTAGGCTCCATCTCATGGAGATCCGCCTTCCTCTGTTAGGTTTAAAGGTGTGCATCACCATACCCAGCAATGGAGGGGATCAAACAGGTTGACAGTAAGGGGAGCTGGCCTGCTTCCCTGTGTATATGAATGTTTTACTTGTGTATATGTAAGTGGCCAGAAGAGGACATCAGATCCCCTGGAACTGGAGTTAATGGATCTTTGTGAACCCCACGTAGGTGGTAGGAACACAGCTGAGGTCCTCTGCAAGAGCAGCCATCTCTCTAGCCATGAAAGGCCACTTTTGCTGGGGGAAAGATCTTGACTTAGAGTTGCATGGGCACACAGTGGGACAGTCTGGTTTTCCTGTGTGGCATGGTGAAGTTGTGCCTCCTGACCCCTAGTGCTGCTGCCTGCACAGGGTTTTATTTTTACTTGGAGCTTGCTCTGAGAACAAAGACACTCTTGCGAGTGAAGGGAGGCAGCAGCTCTTTCAAGCCAAGTTCAAGCAACTGTCTTTTCTCTTTTAGACATTTGAAGAATCCCGTAATAGCACAGAAGATCCAGAAGCTGATGGACGTGGGTCTGATTGCAATTCGGTGATGACTTGCTGGTCCCCTCTTCCCTTTGCCTCTCATGGAAAGGCAAGCTGGGACGGCGGCAGCAAGCATCGCAGGGCAGGGCGGGGGGGAGAGCGGCTTATCTGTATTTATATGCCTGCGTGGAAGATAGACTCATCCAGCGCTACCTTGGGCCCTCCCAGCACACGCATGGTCTCTTCACTGCTGCCCTCAAGTCCTAGTCTCCTTCCCCTGCCCCCGGCACTGTTTCGGCTGCTCCCCCATAGTTGGTTATTTTTTATTTGGGGCAGTGGGTGCATACCAGGAGGGGAGGGTGTTCTTCCCAACCTGGGGTCCCAACTGCCTTCACTTGTTAACTCCACGTCCTTCTCAATAAACAAACCAGTTGGGTGTGGTTATATGTTGCTGTGGTCTCCAATGACTTTCTTCCTAAAGACTCAGTGGCTGTGGCTTGGGAAAAGTGAGTATGAGCTAAACAGCCTGGGACACAGCCTGATGGGCCTTGAAGAAAGGTGGCTGGGGTGGGAGCTGTGCGATGCCTTTGCCAGAGTGAACACTAGGTGGCGCCCCTGCTCAACAGCTGAAGACCTGGCTCTTGCTGGAGTGCCACCTCTTGCAGATCCGCTTTGGTTGATCCTCAGCCTGTAAATTCTCCACAGAACGATCTCTGAATAACATGGGACCCAATTCAGAGCCAACTGGTTCAGGAGACTGACCTCAAGTAGCTCCTGCTGTCCTCAGAAAACAGTCCCAAGCTCTGTGCCCCAGCACCTCACCATTACACCAGGCTGTTTCCTCTAGCCTAGTGTGACCAACACTGAACTTCCTCATTTGTTCCCAGAATGCTGCTGTCTGGTCTAGCAAGACGCTGAGGCCAGCAGCAGGCTGTACTTCCTGCTGTCCTGAGTTTGCATAAGCTGGCTTCCCCTCAGCCCCTGGGAATCCCCAAAGCCTTACCTCCACAAGCATCTGTTGCCTCCAAGCCCAATTCATTGACCTTGGAAAGGCACATCCTGGTGCGGGGTGTGAGCACCAGAGCTCTCGGGTGACAGGATCTGAAGGGGCCTAGTGGGAGGCATGTGGTGTCATACTTGGGGTAGAGAGACCTTGGACTAGGGAATGGAGGCCATAACGGGTCACTGTCCACCTGGGTAGCTACTAAGGCTGGCATGGTTGGAAATGTGCTATCTAGGGGTAAGAAAGCCTGGAAAAGCCTCCCTCTGGCTTTCAAGGACTCTTACTGGCTGTAGGGACCTGTAAGTCTTCCATGTTCCGGTATACCTTGCACAGTCTGACCACGTTCTATGATCCAGAATCCCAGCTCCCAGCAGGCTGGAGATACTAGTGGAGACCTCCAGCCTCATTTAGCTTGAATCAAGGTTCCCTCCAAACCCGCAGGGGGACCAGCTTTGTGGTGTCACAACTCTGTTCTCCCTCACTTCCTGTGGAGCCCTCTACATGCTGGCAGCATGCTTCCTGAACCAAGCCCCAGCCCGCCTTGGGGAGGGGCCTGCCGCCCTGTAACCCTGAGCGATAAGACCACAAGGCTGCCCTCTGAAGGCAGGAACTAAGCAGGACCAGGCAACACCACACCAGTGGTGGCAGGTGCTTGGCCACTTCCAGCAGCTGTACCCCTTGTAGGCCAGGTAAGTGCAGGGGAGGCCAGGACCCTTGTGTCCCTGCCCTGCCTTTCTACTATGCAGCCACATTTGCCACCGCCCCAGAGGTGGCTGCAGGCTACAGTGCTGGGTGTGAGGTGTGGGCCAGGACTAGGTTAGGCGGACTGCAGGGAGCTGTGGGCAGAAAAGCGGCACAGCTCTGGTATCCACAGGGTGTTCTTGAGTGGGCCTTCCTCAGTGTGCGCATCTGTGAGATCTGAGTGGACTGGACTTTGAGGTCTCTGGGGGACCGTCCCTTCAGCCCAGAGAACCATGACAGTCTCAAGTTCATGGGATTACTGCACCCACTCAGGGGCATGTGGGCACACTGGCTTGCTCCTTGTCTGCTCACCTACCCAGGGCACCACAGGGCTCCTGCTTAACCATAGGCAGCCCACCAGGCCCCATAGCCTGCTCACCTTGCCTCCTCAGCAGAAGCAGCCACAGCCATGGCGGGGATGAAGACGGCCTCCGGGGACTATATCGACTCGTCCTGGGAGCTGCGGGTGTTTGTGGGCGAGGAGGACCCTGAGGCCCAGTCTGTCACCCTCCGGGTCACAGGGGAGTCTCACATCGGTGGGGTGCTTCTGAAGATCGTGGAGGAGATCAGTGAGTCCCCGTGACGCCACATGCTACACTCCACTCAGGCAGCCACAGTGGCCATCCCTGACACTTCCGGGCCATCCCTGCCCTACCACTGATGGTGACCCTGTCCTAGTGACTCAGGCACCAGCTTAATCATTTGGTTCCAAAAAACCTGTCCTCAACTTTCCCTCCCTTCATCCTTCCTCTTGATCTTGCTGGTTTGGTCCGGTCCTAAAAGGGCAGACAGGTCATGGTCCCCCACACAAACCCTTCTAGGGGCAGAAGGGGAGACCTCACCTGGGCCATGGCCTAGGTCATGTCCCTGAGGTCTAGGGCTCCTGGGGATCTGGAGCCTGCTCTCCCACACTTCCTCCCCGAGCCATCCACTCTGGTAGGCTGCTGACAGTGGGTAGGAAGGCCCTGCCCCCACAGGAAGTTACAGCGGAGTAGGCAGCTGTGGTATCAGTGGAGTAGAGTCACCAGGGCCCCACAGGGGCTTCTCACTGACTTTCCCTGCCAGGGATGGGGGCTCCTACTTCCTGGGAGGATGACAGGAGAGGTCCGATAGCCTGAGCCGGAAGGCATGGGGCCAGAAGCCTGGGTCCTAGGCAGGGATGGAAGGTAAGCTTCCTAGACCAAATCACCCCTCTGTGTACAGCCTAAGATAGGGCTGAGGGCGACTGGACAGGACAAGCCCCAAAACAGTCCAAAGAGGCTGTGAAAGCAGAAGTGGGTTGCAGTGGGTCCCTCAAAAGCTAGATATAAGACCAAGTTGGAGATTGACCTGAACCAAGCCAGAACAGAGGAGCTGGAGAATCTGGTGTCTCCTGGGACACACATGTGGGCACCAAGATAGCTGAACATGGAGCCATCCAGTTCCTACCACACACAGTACCACTGCTGGGCTCCTCAGGCCAAATCCCTTGAGCCCTGGGCCCTCAGTCCCCTGCAATGAGGGCTTGTCCCCTCCTGCAGTCTGGCCAGTGCTGTATGCTAGTGCCAAAAATGGTGAGAGCTGACACCAGAAGTTGTCACCACCCCTGCCCCCACCCCAGGACAGGAGATCCCCAGGGAGGCTGAAGAGGTGCTTTGAGAGGCCTGCATGTTAGGGGAGAGCTGGCATTGATGCCAGGGACTTTTGGATGCTCAGGGTTAGTGCCTGAGGCCCAGATGGTACCCTAGAAGGCTGGGAAGGCCCTGAGGCCTTCCTGAGGGACTAGGCACCTACCCTGGAAGTGAAGGGCAGGGCCCTTTGTAAGCTGGTAGAGGCATACTGCAGCCAGGGAGATCTTAGGCTATCCAGTTGTCATGGGGAAGAGGTGATCAGACCTCCAGAGGCCAGGCAAGGAGAATGGGGTTGACATGCCAAGATGGGGCTAAAATTAAAAGCATGGCATTCAGATCTCCAGGATATCTCTAGTGTGAAGGGTCTGGGGAGGAGGGGTGTCTCTGTCTAGACTGGGGTTTCAGCAGAGCATTTTGAAGGCTGGGGCTAGGAGTCACTGCACCTCGTGTTCCAGCCCTGGGCACAGGGTAAGGTAAAGAGGTGTCTGGAATAAGGAAACTAGTGGACGTGCTGCTTAGCTGAGGGCCTGGGGTTCAGGGCAGGGTCTGGAGTGCAAGTCAATGTCATGCAGATACCAGCTAAAGCCAGAGAATGGAGAGCCCCCCACACTCCCAGGAAGAGGGCATGTCCGAAGAGGGGATCGGTTCCAGACTGAATCCCAGGGAAAGGACAGATAAGGAGCAGGTTGGGAGAGCCTGCTGAAAAGGACAAGAGGGGAGGGAACTCTCAGGATTGTGAGTGTAATAAATACAGCCAAAGACATTTCTGGAGAGGTCACAGATTCTAGAGGAAATCCTATCTCTGTCATATCTCTAGACAAATGAAATTTCTTATTGTATGCTAAATATGAATCCTTATATTTATAGACAAGTGTAGCATACACTACTCACCAAAGAAAACAGCAAAGGCTGCCAGGCATGGTGGCATATACCAGCCCTCTGTCAGTTTGCAGCCCACGTAGCAAGTCCATGTTTCAAGCAAAGCCAGGTGTGGTGGCACACACCTTTAATCCCAGCTCTCAGGAGGCAGAGGTAGGCAGATCTCTGTGAGTTCGAGGCCAGCCTGGTCTACGTAGCAAGTTCCAGTTCAGCTGGGGCTACAGGGAGACCCTGTCTCAAAAAGATACAAAATAAATAATAAATTAATTAATAATAATAATAAATTTTATTTATAAAAATAAATAAATAAAATATTTAAAAATACAAAAAATAAAAGCAAGCACCCAGAGTAGTGTTGTACCCCTTTTATCCCAGCACTCAGGAGGCAGGGGCAGATGGATCTCTGTGAGTTCCAGGAACTACATAGTTCCAGGCCAGCTGGGATTAAAAGGAGATCCTGTCTCTAAACAAAACCAACCAAACAAGTAAATATAAATAAATAAAAGCAAGCCAGGCATGGTGGTGCACACCTTTATTCCCAGCACTCAGGAGGCAGAGACAGGTGGATCTCTGTGAGTTCATGCTTGGCCTCATCAACATAGTGAGTTCCAGGCCAGCCAGGGGTACACAGTGAGACCCTGTCTCAAAACATAAGTAAAAAATAAAAGCAAAAGACCAAGAGGAGAAGAAGTAGGGGCAGAGCAAAGGCTGCAGGAGGGAAGCTGAGTCCCGAGAAATCAGAGAAGCTTCCAGGATTGGTAGCACCTGGAACAGGTCAGGGAAGCAGGTCAGGAGCTGCACAAATAGAAAGTGGAGACGAGGAATCACCTCGGTGGGAGGGCCAGGAGAGCCCAAGACACGGCTGGGGGAGCATGCACGAAGCCCCGAGTTTGATCCCAGATAAACTGAGTGTATGCTGGTGATCCAGCATTTGAGAAGTGGAGGCAGGAGATTCAGAAGTTCAAAGTTGCCCTTGGCTACATAGCAAGTTGAAGGCCAGCCTGGGCTACATAAGACCCTGTCTCAGGGGTAGGGTAGAGGAAGGGACCCAAGGAAGAGGGGCTTTGCAAACTCTGGGGAGGCTGTGTACTCAGCATGGCTTTTAAAAAATATTATTTGTATGTGTATGAGCATATTGCCTGCATGTATGTATCATGCAGTGCCCACAGAGGTCAGAAGAGGTCTTTGGCTCCCCTAGAACTGGAGCTACAGACAGCTCTTAGCCGCCATGTGGGTGCTGGGAACCGAACCTGTGTCCTCTCCAGCCCCCCAGCTCTGCTCTTTACCCCACTTGTTTCTTTTTTGGTCTTTTTGAGACAGGGTCTCCCTGTAGCCCCGGCAGGCCTGGAACTTACCATGTAGACCAGGCTGGCCTTGAATTCACAGAGATCGGCCTGCCTCGGTTTCTGCCTCCAGGGTGTTGGGATTAAAGGTGTGCCCTGCTTGTTTCTGTACTCTCAGTCCTTCAGGAAGGATGGGACAGCCTCCTGTGACATCCATTGCTGTGACCCAATCCCTGGCCAGATGATTGACATATTCAGATTTCCAAATGGGTGCTCACTAGAGTCTGCTCATGTGTGTACATGATTAAACACTTAGCAATTTCCATGTCACAGGCATTGATCAGTGGCCAAGAGTCAGGGTGATTGTTGCATCTTACTGAATTCCAAAACAGACTGGAGACATGGGTGCACTTACATGCAGGGATAACACTCATACACATACACATAAAATAAAAATAATAAAATATTTTTTTAAAAACTGAGGTTTAAAGCAGGGCATGGTGGCGCATGCCTTTAATCCCAGCACTCAGGAGGCAGAGGTAGGCGGATCTCTGTGAGTTCAAGGCCGGCCTGGTCTACATAGTGAGTTCCAGGAAGCTGGGGCTACAGGGAGACCCTGTCTCAAAAAGACAAACCCCAAAAAACCCAGAAAACTAAAAATGGCTGGGTGTGGTGGCGCACGCCTTTAATCTCAGCACTCCAGAGGCAGAGGCAGGCAGATCTCTGTGAGTTCGAGGCCAGCTTGGTCTATATAGTGAGTTCTAGGACAGCTGGGGCTACAGGGAAACCCTGTCTCAAAAAGACAAAAAAAAAAAAAACAAAACCCTGAGGCTCAGAGAAGTTAAGTGCCTTGACCAAGGTCACACAGCTAGTCACCAGTAAATATTTCCAATGTCTGCTGGGTAAATCTCAGGCACTAAAGTTACACAAAGAAAGGGCATTGAACTGAGCAACCTTGGAGGACACGTGGGGTGCTATATGGAGGGAACCCAATGGGATAGAGAGCGTGAGGAGAGACCATTGAAATTGAGGCACCTAGATTCTAGGTTGGGGAGATCCTGTGGGAAGCGATGTAACAACAGAGCCCCAAAGAACCATCAGGACACAGCAAAAAGCAATTCCACCATCAACTTGGAGCCAAGTTGACCCAGCTTCCTGTGGTGTTCAGCCTCAGGATCTCGGGTTGTGCTCAGTTTGGGGGCAGAAGTCAGGAAGGATGGACAGGCCCCCCAAGGCTGACGGACACCCTTGGGCCCTCATAGATCGCAAGCAGGACTGGTCCGACCACGCCATCTGGTGGGAGCAGAAGAGACGGTGGCTGCTGCAGACCCACTGGACGCTGGACAAGTACGGGATCCTGGCAGACGCCCGCCTCTTCTTTGGACCACAGCACCGGCCTGTCATCCTGCGACTGCCCAACCGTCGTGCATTGCGCTTGCATACCAGCTTCTCCAAGCCCCTCTTTCAGACTGTGGCCGCCATTTGCCGCCTCCTCAGTGAGTAGCCAGAATCCCCTCCCTTTCCCAGGCTCAGCCACATAACCTTTGCCATCCTTTTCCCAAGGGATGAGGTGGGGAGGTAACTAAGCAGGCCCCTGAGGCCCAACTCCCTTAAGGTATCCGGCATCCCGAGGAACTGTCCCTACTGCGGGCTCCCGAGAAGAAGGAGAAAAAGAAGAAGGAAAAGGAGCCCGAGGAAGAGGTATACGATCTCACCAAGGTTGTCCTAGCTGGCGGTGAGTGAACATGATCCACCGGGGCTGAGACAGGGTCCAGTAGGGAGGCCAGGGCGGGGGCCAGGGCAGGGTCAGGCAGGGGAAGTCAAGGAAGGGTCGGGCCTGGTTGACCCCCACACCCGCTCTGCAGGTGTAGCTCCTACCTTATTCCGAGGCATGCCAGCACACTTCTCAGACAGTGCTCAGACGGAAGCTTGCTACCACATGCTGAGCCGTCCACAGCCACCACCTGACCCTCTCCTGCTCCAGCGCCTGCCAAGACCCAGCTCCCTGTCTGACAAGACCCAGCTCCACAGCAGGTATTCAGCCCATGCCCAGGCCACCCTGCCCTGGGCTTTGCTCCTCTATGGTCTGCTTCCTGCTTCCGGGCCCTCCTCTGTGTGCTCCCACCCAACCCAGCCCTGATTCAGCCTCTGCTGTGCCCAGGTGGCTGGACTCCTCACGGTGTCTCATGCAGCAGGGTGTCAAGGCTGGGGACGTGTTGTGGCTGCGCTTTAAGTACTACAGCTTCTTCGACCTGGATCCCAAGGTGGGCCGAACTTGGGAACAAGTGGGTCTGGGAGCTCTGGGAGGTTAGCTACTGTAGGGGTCAGTTCATCTGTCCACGTGTTCATCCGACCCTCTGTGTGTTGATCCCGCAAACGCACTGCAGTCTCCAAGGCTAAGGTAGATAGAGACAAATCATTGCGCTCAGTGCTATATCTTCTCTAGGACCCGACTGCTGCGGGGCTCGTGGCTGAGGCCCGTGCAGATGGTGGTGGGTGCTGGGGAGTCTGGGGCTCTGTAGAGAGGCTTTGAGCTGGGCACCGAGAAGTTTCCTGAACCTGCAGGGACTGGGTGGTGGGAAGGAGCTTGGCAGGGAAGCCTCAGCATGTCCTGGCCTCTTCCTTCCTTCCCATCTGTTGTCCCCACAGCAACATCATCTATGCCTCTGTCTCTACAAACTGCCCAGAGCCCCCCAGGCTGCTCTTTCTAATGTGGCCCCACTTTGTGGCCTCTCACTGCAAACTTGCATACAGTGGTCTACAGAGCACCTGTTGGTTTCAAGCTGTTGGTTTCAAGCTGTTGGTTTCAGCTCCCTCCTCTTAGCCAAACTGCCCTGGTATCCACAAACTCCTGAGGGAGTCTTGCCCTCCATGTGGTCTGTCCCATGGTCCTGTTGCGCCACTTATTTTTTTTTTTTTTGAGACAGGGTCTCCCTGTAGCCCTAACTGGCCTGGAACTCACTATGTAGACCAAGCTGGCCTTGAATTCACAGCAATCCACCTGCCTCTGCTAGGACTAAAGTGCTGGGATTAAAGGCATGTGCTAGCTTTGAGCTCACTCTGTAACCCAGGCAAGCTTTGAATTTCGGATATTTTTTGCCTTAGCTTCCCCAATAGCTGGAAATACAAGCCTGCATTACCAGGCTTGGTCCCGCCCACTTCTTGTTCACTTTGGACAAGTATACAGTCAACCCCCCTTCCTCTGGAATTATCTTTCTCTTACAGCTTCCGAGCTCCACTGACTCAGGGCATCCTTCTTTCATCCAGTACCTGTGCCCAGGCTGCTTAACCTCTGTTTCTCCTCTCCTGGGACATTCATTCATTCATTCATTCATTCATTCAATGTGTGTGTTTGTGCATTCAAGTACCCTTACACACTTGTGGAGGTCAGAGGACAACTTACAGGAGTTGGCTCTTCACGTCCATCATGTGTGGCCCAGGATAAAACTAAGGTTGTCAGACCGGGCATGGTGGCGCACACCTTTAATCCCAGCACTCGGGAGGCAGAGGCAGGCAGATCTCTGTGAGTTCAAGGCCAGCCTGGTCTACATAGTGAGTTCCAGGACAGCTGTGGCTACAGGGAGACGCTTTCTCAAAAAAACAAAAAAAAAAAAAAAAAATTCTCTTGTAGCCCAAGCTGCCCTAAAACTTACACTACTATGCAGTTGAGGCTGGTCTTGAACTTCTGACCTTTCTTCTGGGATTTCAGATATGCCTGGTTTATAAACTCTACCTGGTCATCTCTCCCTGAACTCTAGCTCCAGCAGGACTAACAGCGCTTTCAAGGCTGACTGTTGGCGGCCACTGCCAAGTCCCTCCTTTAAAGCATTCTGAGCCTAGTTACCTCCCACCTGACCTAAGTGTGTCCCACTGCTCTGCTCTGGAAATCCTCCTTGCTCTCTCCAGCAGGCCTGTCTCCACCGAGTGAGCTTTCATGGGTGTGCTTTCAATCCTGGCCCTGTTTGCAGGCCTCCTGTGACTACCTGGCCCTGCCTGCCCCGGTCCTAGCACCTCTGTCCCTCCATCCCTCCACACTGGTTTCTCCTCTGCTCCTTGCACATCCTGTTTTGCATCCTTCCCTACTTTGACTCCATCATTCCCTTTTCCTCTTTTCCCACCTTTTTGTTTGTTTGTTTATTTATTTATTTATTTATTT